GGAGGACCATGTGCAGGTCCTGAACTCCATGGTGCTCATGCTCAGTCCTGAGAGTGGAGAGGCAGCCGTGGGTTTAGGCAAAAGTTACCAGCTTTACCTGCCAGGCTCGGGGTGTCTGAACCTAGACTTCCATGGGCAGAGTAGCACACGCCTATAGTCTTGGACACCTTGAGACTCAGGGAGGAGGACTGCAGGTTCAAGGCCACCTCAGGAAAACTATAGAACACAGTATAAAAACAAAAGCAAGCTGAGATGTATGTAGTTCATCATGGCCTAGCATGTGAGAACACTTACTGCATCACTGCAGCTGAGAAACTAATAAATAGATAAATAAAAATATAAATAAATAAATAAATAAATAAATAAAATCATATGTTTAACAAAAAGTTTAGAAATACCTATGTTCATGCACATATTCATACTAGAGTTACAGAGTAAACACAGAAATGTCCATAGGATTTATATTTTAAATATTACATATGTGGCATGGAGTATTCATTTTATTTCTAAGCAAATTGGTCCCTGGCTGAGAAGAGGCTTCAGGGGTCTTTGCTTACCCTCCTCTCTGGTCTATCAGGGTCTTTACCCAGGACAGTGAGCTCAGAACTGAGTGCAGAGCCAGGCAAGAGCTGACTCCTGGTCTCTGAACCTCCCCTGGCCATGGCCTTTCTGCGTGGCTCAGCCCTCATTCTCCTCTGGATCCCCTGCCAGGCAGCCTGAGGGCAGGGACTCTGCTTTCCCAGGTCCTCACCACACTGCCCAGAAGAACCTCCACTTCAGATCCCAGGGCCAGAGCCTGTAGCTCTCAGGCAGCTCCAGCCTGAGCTCAGCCTGCTCGAGCTCCTGCCCCAGCCTCTCCCATCTATGTCTCCCATCTGATGAAGGAAGCAAAGTCCTTCCTTCATCAGATGCTCTGCACACATTCTCACATTTGTCCACCTGCATGTTGTCACCTTGATAAGGAGAAACTTGACCTGAATGTACTTTTCCCAGCCTCACAGTAAAGATTTCATTGTAGTCTCTCATCCCAAAGGAACCTTTTTCAAGCACAGGGATATTTAATAAAAGGGTGGAGCTTTTAAATCTTTTTCTTTTTCCTTTATTTACTGCTCACCAGCTCTGTCCTGCTGTTTGTGGTAGGAACAGGTGAGTTCTCCCAGACCAGGGCAGGAGGAAGTATCAGGGGACATCTGGTGATCCCAGAAATGATGAGTAACTGAGGAAGGGAGAAGTGGGGGCTCTGACTCAGAGGTAGAGAACTGTGCAGCATGCACCAGGCCGTGGGTTCACTCATCAGCTCCACAGGGAGAAAGAAAGGAATGAAAGAATTAGAGAAAGAAAGATAAAAAGAAAAGTAGGAAGAAATGAAGGAAGAAAGGAAGGAAGGAAGGAAGAAAAAGACAAGAAAAAAAGGTTTCTGATAACTATGAGAAGAACAAAAGAGAAGGACTTTGTCCTGCTTTATTCCTGAAAAAGTTGCTAGAGGACCTGATACAGGACATGATGTTTAGAGACAATGCAGCCCTCTTGAGGTCATGAGGCATTATTAAGTATTAAAAGTCCCTGTGGTAATATTGGAAATGCAGAAATATGTAAGGATTCAGAATATTTGCTGTTTTTACCAAGATGCTGGACTAGCCCTATATTCTCTAATCTTCTATAGTACTTTCACTTGTTTGTAAAATTATTCTTCTCCTAAAGGACAGTTAAGAGGAAGAGCCTGGCTGGCCTTAGACTGCTGGTCTGGAGAAGTTGGGCACCATGATGAGTATAAGTGTGCTCTGTGGGACTCTGAGGCAAGGAGGGTGGGTCCATGTGTGGGTCCCTTGCCTCTTACCTATGCTGTGCCAATGTCCAGAAACCCCAAACAACTCAGTGAGTTTATACATCTTCCTCTCTTGCTGCCTTTATTTCTGTTTTTACCTCCAAAGCATAAACTACGCCCTTGCTTCTGTAATGTCCCCTCTTCTTCCAAGGTTCACCAACACAGAACTGTGCTTAAGACACCAGGACAGCCTTCCTGAATGAGAAAGTGACTACAGATTCACCCCTTATAGCTCAGAGGGCTGATTGTGTCCTGTGGCCCCAGGGAACCATATTTCCCACAAGAAAATCTGAGCTTTCCTGATCTGACCTGGGACACCTGGACACACTTAGCCTATGTTGATTGACCAGGAGGTCTGCCCTGCAGCTGTGCCCAGCCTTCCCATCCCTGCTTATTTGCATGTGCCCACAGCACAGCCCACTGCCCTGAGGACTTCTTAAGGGGCTGCTCACACTCTGTGCAGGAGTCAATCCCAGTCAGGACACAGCATGGCCATGAGGGACCCTGTTCAGCTCCTGGGGCTTCTGTTGCTCTGCCTTCCAGGTAAGGAGGGACAGCACTGGGAATTTACTAATCACAGTGTGGTCAGTGCTGCCTGGCTACACAGGAGTGTCCCCTTGTAACATAACCCTCATAAGAATATTTATATTTATTTTTCCAATGGCAGGTGTAAGATGTGACATCACAATGACCCCGTCTCCATCCTCCTTGCCTGTGTCTCTTGGAGACAGAGTCACCCTCACCTGCAGGGCCAGTCAGGGCATTAGCAGTAATTTACACTAGTATCAGCAGAAACCAGGGCAAGCTTCTAAGCTCCTCATCTATGGTGCAAATAATTTGCAATCTGGAGTCCCCTCGAGGTTCAGTGGCAGTGGATCTGGGACAGATTTCACTCTCACCATCAGCAGCCTGGAGCCTGAAGATGTTGCCACTTATTACTGTCAACAGCATAGCAGTTCCCCTCCCACAGTTATACAGGCCATGACGAAAACCTCCCAGGGAGCAGAAGTGTGAGGCTGGGCTGCCCCAGCTGCTCCTCCTGCTGAGGGCACAGCTCAGAGGCACCAGGCCCTGAGCACTACAAGGAGGGTCAGTCAGAAGATCCAGAGGGGCTCATCTGCACCCTGACCCTTCAGCTCAGCTCCAGCAGTCAATGAGCTCACTGTATGATAGAGAAAGTAATTTAAGACCTGAAGAGACTGAATTTGGTCGTATCAGGGATTGTGCAGCAAAGACAGGCCTCTCCAAATATTCCACATGGGAATATTTTTGACTTTATTTTTTAGTATAGTTTAAGTATCCAGGAAAACTGGATGAATTGCAGAGTTCTCCTGTTTCGACCCTGCTTTCACAGCCCCTATGTCACCACCCCAGACTGTGTTGTTTCTGTTACAATTCACCAACCTCTGCCCACTTCTATAGGTCAAACCAGGGTCACATTTTGCATTTTGTAAAACTAGATAAGTGCACAGTGACGTGTGTCCAGCAGTGTGGCCTGGCACAGTGCATGTCCCTCTCTCACACTGTCTGAGCTCCAGCTGCTCCTCACCCCACCCCACACCCATCTGCTGCAGATCTTTATAATTTTCCATTCTGTAGTTTCATCTGTGCTGAGTGACAACTGCCTGGCACTCACAGCATGATGATGTTCAGACTGGCCTGTCACCCTGAGTGCTGTGCACACAAACCTCCTCCAGTAGTTTTCACTACAGCATAGAGAGTTGTTTTCTTTTTTTTTTTTTTCAAATTTTTCTTCAAAGTTGGTATTAAATACACACACACACACTACAGTTAGCTACATTCATGGTCACATTTGTATCTATCTATCTATCTTTCTATCTATTTATTTTTTGAGTCAGGATCTCTCTAAGTTTTTAGGTCCTTGCTAGGTTGCATGGATATCAACCCTGAGTCTTTTGGCCTGTGAACCTGGAGTTGTACCTGCTGTCCTCTCTTGGGCTAAGAGATATGGAGACTTGGAGACCCACAGGGAATGAACCTGGTCTCTCTCCTTCTGAGGTTGTGGTCTCTTGGACTGAGATCCAAACAGTGATGGAAAAGGCAATGCTGTTTTCAACCTGTTTTGACCAAGTCTTGGAGGAAACAAAGTGAGTGCATTAGGGACAATTCCCTTTTGAAACAGGTATGGCCAGATATTTAAAAATGGGTCAGAATTTAAAATAAGTCCTTTACAAATAAATGATCATTTAAAGATAATTACTGAGCAGGGACTGCTAATAATTAGCATGAACAAGGATTCTACATAGTCACCTATTCCCCCATTTAGGCTCATGAACCATTGTCATGGAGGTCTCTCCTTGGACTACTACAATATCAGTCTCTTTTCACCAAGTTCATGTGGCTGCTGGCACTTGAAGGCATTCAACTCACCAAGAGGGCTGGACACTGTTGACCCCCAATATTATATACACACCATGAGACTAGATTGACACCCAATATCCACCTGACCACAGTGGACCTGGCCAACACTGGAAGGCTGGGAAGGTTCTCGTCTGTGCTTTTGCTTTCAGTCAGTCCTGTGTCAGCCAGAAATATGTGGAGAGCTCCTGAGAGCTTTCATGGGTGCTATAATTCTTACAAAATACACCATTCAACCAAGCAACTCATTTACAGAAAAATAATCAACCTAGTGCACTTGACCATGATGTTATCATATACGCAGGTGCAGTGGTGTTAACAGAAGAGGAACCCACACAAATCAAGCTATGCTGGCCCTGGGCCCCATGGAGTTGATTCCCTGTCCTGCCTGGTGTGGAGAAGACTCAGAGGCACTGACCCTGTGTGGTTCTGTTATTCTCAGACATCAAATATTTGCTCTTCAGAATTGTGGAGTTATCCCCACCCTCTCTATTGTGCCCATTGAGCACCTTGAGATCTTCTATCTGCTCACTTTGGTTTTCTGGTCAAAAGTTTTTTTACCCAAAGATTGTCATAGTCACTCTGCCATTAAACTGAGTGAAATGATGAACACATGGTCATCAGATCCCACAGGACAAGGAAATAATTGTGAAGAAAGGATCCCATTTTTGAGGCTAGGACTATGGATCCTGGTGATCAATGGCTACTAGGAATCTATCTACGCATTATAAGAAAGTGACTGGAAAATGTGTCAATTCTGGAAGAGCATCAGGAATGGTCCTCCTAATGACATTACCACTGGTGACAGCTGGTAGGACAGTTTATCAGGTCTCAGCATGGAGCTTCAGATGATCCTGGAGGTGGCCTGCACAGGTCCAGGCAGCTTCGTGAGGCACAGGGAAAGTGACATTCACAGAGAGACAAGGAGATGTGACCTTCAGCCACAGCCTCCTGGTCAGCCTGAGGCTGAGAACCATGGAGTCCAGTCCAAGTCTCTTCCTTCCTCATTGTGATGTCATAGTGTCACCTGGATATGACAGAAGCCATTCTGGCTGCTTAACCCAAGGTCTTATCATGGCCATGGACTAGGATCAGGAGGCAGAAGGAGGAGGTTCAGGCTACGTGCAGCTCTAACCCCCTCACCTCTGGGCCTGTGTGTGCCAAGGTCAGGAGACACAGCCATGTGTGTGGCAGGTGTTTCTGTGTAGCTCCAAGCTGCTCTGCCCACCTGCTCTTCTCCAAATAGCACAGCCTAGCCAGGAGTGGGCTCTGAGGCCTTCACCTCAGGGTCCTCCTGTGTGGATCTCAAACACGTGGGGTTAGGGGAGCCCTGCAGTGAAAGAGCAGCCCCTGCCAATCAGGTGAGAGCAGGTTGGCTCCAGGGAGAGCAGGCCTGCTGTGGGTGGGACCCTTAGGTGTGTGGTCACCACTGCTGGAGTACACACACTCACACTCACACACACACACTCACACAGACACACTCACACACAGACATACACATATCCACACACTCACACAGACACACACGCTGTCACAAACACACAGACACACACAATGCACTCACACATACTAACACTAAGAGACACACAATAACACACACATATACACACACCCTCACAGAGACACACACAATTGCACTCACACACAGACACACAGACACACACATGCACACACACTCATGCACACATGCACTCACACCCAAAGACACACAGACACACACACATGCACACACATTCACACACACAGGCACTCACACCCAAAGGCACACAGAGACACTCACGTACGTACACACTCATACACATTCATACACACTCACACACAGACACACACACAGACACACATACTCACAGACACACATACAGTCACACACACACTCACACCCACACCCACACTCACACCAACATACACTCATACACACACACACACACACACTCAGTTAGTGACTCCATCCTCCACAGGGCACTCCCTGTGCTTTTCAGTCTGTGTCACCCTCTCTCCTAACATCCAGAATCCAAAATGCTCCACAATAGGAGACATCAGATTGTTCCAGGGGGTTGGAATTGGAGGTGGGGATGCTCAGCTGGTCAAGTGACTCAAAGTTTCTAAAATATGAAAATACTGAAATATGATACCCTCCTGGTCCCCTACATGTCAGGTAAGGTACATGGAAAACCAGAAAGTTCCTGCAACACAGTGTCAGTTCCCTGAATATTTTTAGGGGTTCCCCTCATCTCAACTTGTCTTCCACATGGATTTAAACATCCACAGTCAGATCTCACCCTCTACTGCAGGCAGCAGCGTGGACATTTTCCTCAATGGTTTTCCTCCAAACATACAAGATGTTTTAAGTGACTTTGTTTAAATTCAGAACCCATTTCCTCTTGGTGCGCTGTACACTATGGCACCTGAGATGAAGTCTGAGATAAAAGCTCAGCTAAACCTCGTCTTAACTGACCAGGACTCCTCAGCTCAACTTCATAAAATGAGGCTCCCTGATTGGCACAGTGGTGGAGGCCTGTAATTCAAGCAGCTCGCTGGGGTTTCCCGTAAGTGTTCAGTTGCTGGAGGTTTGGATCTAGTGGAGCCAAGATGAGAGATGATTGATCTTGAAGAGATGGGGCCTGGTAGGAAGGGGTCAGGTCTGGAGCTGCTGACCCTGGAAGAACAGTGCTGTTCTCACACACCGAGGGTGTCCTCAGAAGAGTGGGTTGTCATGAGGCCATACCAGAGGCACTACCCTGCAGTTTACAGCTGGTTTTCTGTCCACGTTCACACCACTGTGACACAGGCCAGGGGCCTCACCAGAGGACGAGTGGGACTGCAAAGTCTTGACCCTCAGCCTTGAACACTACCACTTAAACCAACCTCTTTACTTACTTATACAGTACTTATTTAACTCCGAAGTTTTGCTATAGCAACATATAAAGGACCAATATGTGCTTCTTGTTATTATGACTTTAGATGCAAATCTCCTTAAAGAAAGAGCTGCATTAGAAATTAAGAAAATCTATTTAAAACAATTATGTCCCAACATTAGATTCAGATCTCATGGATATTAACTAGTCAACAGTGTAAGATGCCGATTCTCAACCAGCAGGTGGTTCTAGAATTCTGCACTGGGTACATCTCTTAATGAGGCTAATGATGCTGTTCAGCCTGAACCTTTTGAATAGGATGAGGGTCTCACTGATTTTCTTAGTGCCTCACTTTTGATGAGGCTGGTTTTGAAATCCTGATCCTCCTGATTTAGCATGGACTTAATCTCATCCCTTTTCCTTCAGTCACAGAAGACATTATTTATTCAAAATCAGTCCATAACCCACCCATTGGTTCTTTCCACACAGCTGCACCCACCAGGGCATTTGCATGCTGCTCCCTGGGGAGGAACTTCCTGCAAGGCCTACATAAAAGCTCAGCTCTAACCTGCCCTTGACTCACCAGGACTCCTCAGCTCAGCTTCTCAAAATGAGGCTCCCTGCTCAGCTCCTGGGGTTGCTGCTGCTCTGGATCCCTGGTGAGGTCAGAGCAGATGGGGAGGGAGAAGGGGAGGGGGTGAGCTCAGTGCTTCCTACAAATGATCTCTGTGCATGTCAATTGTGTGGGTATCACTGCATAGGATGGGGCATGGCTGTTCAGATCCATGAAAGGGAGGGAGTTCCTAGAGGAAAACCAAGTCATCTACTGGTGAAGACTGGACATAGAAAGAGGAGAGTGGTCTGGTGAACCTCTAGACAAGTATTGTACATGTAAAACTCTATCTTAATTGACATTGGGTGTTTCTGGATAGAAACCCAAACTATATACTCAAGAATGTACAAGAAATTTAGTTGAGAAAGGAACAAAATAATTAAAATGTTCCATAATGTTATGAATAAAATTTCATTTCTGTCATTATTTCAGGACCCAATGGGGACTCTATGATGACCCAGACTCCCCTCTCCCTGTCTGTCACCCCTGGAGAGCCAGCCTCCATCTCTGCAGGTTCAGTCAGAGCCTCCTATACAGTGTGATGGAAACACCTATTTGTGTTGGGTTGTGCACAAGCCAGGCCAGCATCTACAGAGTCTAATATATAAGGTTTCCAATTGGTGCACTGGGGTCTCAGACAGGTTAAATGGCAGTGGGTCAGGGACGGATTTCACACTGAGAATCAGCAGGGTGGAGGCTGAGGATGTTGGGGTGTATTATTGTGTGCAAAGTACACATGTTCCTTCCACAGTGATGCAGTCCCTGACAAAAACCTACCCGCCTGGGTGGCCCAGCTGCCAACTGTGTTGCTGATCTGGGCAGCAGCTTAGCAGATTGTCTCAGAGGAAGAAGCTGCAGCTGAGGGATCTGGGCCATGAGTGTCATGGCCACAGCTCAGCCACCACATATCAAAGTGCCAACAACTGCAGAAGCCCTAGCTTGGCAACAGCAGAAGGGAGACCCTGGGGAACAGAGTTGGAGTGCTCCATGTTGAAATTAAGTCACCTGAAGAGGCCCTAAGAGCCATGCAAAAACACAGAGTTCTTCTGTCAAAACAGAGACAGAGAATATTTTCAGTATAAATCTAATCTTTATTTTCCACAATATTTTTAAGAAATAGGTCTTGAAAGCACTCATTATGTTGTGTAAATTCATGCACACAAAAAGATGCAAATAATAACATTAGTAACACCCAGGGGTGCTGAGGAGTAAGGGAGGGTCCTATTCTAATGAGATTGAAATCACATTGTCACCATATTTTATTAACGTGTTAGAAATTTACTATGTTATAATTTACCGCAAATTAACAAAAATAGGAGGGAAAAGCTATCATATAAACAGAAAAAAAATTAGAAGAGAGTTGAAATATTTTACTCCCGAAATAAACTAAAGAGAAAGGTGGTTGTAGTCGAGGAGATTCAGGGATTAAAAAGGCAGGAGGAAGAGAGAAAGCACAGAAGAATGGCAAAGGGAAGCTCCTCCCTGTCTGTAATTTTTCTGAATGTAAATGGGTGAACATCCAATCAAAATGTGTAGATTGGCAAAATGGATTGGAATTGTGTATGTACATCTTCATTGAGTAATCTCACCTTAGGTCTTAGAACAAGCAGAGTTTGATGGTAAAAACATGAAAAAAATAAAAACATTAGGAAAAGTAGTTGTGCTATTATCAGAAATACAGAAAATTTTTAAATTTGATTGGAGAGATACAAAAAAAATTATACAATGATAATGGGGTCTGTTCTACAAGGGGATAAATATTACAAACATACATGCACTAAAAATCAAGGCTTCAAACACATTTAAAAACTGTGACATTTTTGAGGAACAAAAAGACCACAATACAGTAACAGAGGGTCCCCAGTATTGTATTTTCAATATTTTCTGGGATGACCAGAGAGAGGACAAGTCAGGAAACAGAGACCTGCTGCAATGCACCCACCTAACAGACGTGTAGGAGCATTCCACACACAATGGCTTGCTGCATGATTGCTCAAGTGCACGTGGAATTCTCTCTGCACGTGTTAGGCCACAAAACAAATCTCAATGATTTTATAAACACTTAGAACATGGAACATGGATATTATCTCCTCTGATGACAATGTATGATGTTACAAGTTAACAGCAAAAAGTGAACAGTAAAATTCACAAATGTGAGGAAAGATAATGCACTCATATAAAAACTGGCTCAAATGAAATATTTTAGTGAGCTCTTCATTTCTGGGACCAAAAGGCCAGACATGAACACTGAGAGAAGGACAGGTTTATTTTGGCTCATGGTTTCGGAGGTTCAGTTCATGGTCAACTGGCTCTATAGCCCTAGGGCCAAGGTGAGGCAGAATGTCACAGAAGGGGACATGGCAGAGAGAAGCAGCTCAGGTAATGTAAACAGAAGAGGGATGTGGAGAGAGAGGAAGGGACCCAGAAAGGTCAACTCTCCAGGGCACGCCCCCTGTGGCCCACCCCCTCTAGCCCTGCTC